TTAACGTTAATAATATAATATTAACGTAAGTCTGTAAGGGCCGACTGAGCAGAATTACTATTATAGATAGATTTTCATTACTTTTGTCACAGTTAAGTATAGGAAAGCAGAAGTATATCACGAAGAGATGAGGTTAAGAACGATATACAGTCTTGCTGTATTTGACTAGTGCCGATTGAGTTAATCGTCGATTAAGTTAATCGGCGTAAGTAACAGTCGTCCTCAATCCCAGTTAATTAATATTACTTATTAATTTTGCAATTTGTAAATTAAAAAATTTTTTTATTATGCTTTGAACGTCGATTCTGCAAAGAAATTTGTTTATTTATTTCTCTTATTCGTATGTAAGTGCGCGTGCGTACCAAACAAAATAAAACTTTCCGCGGAATAAGTTGCATGTTCATCTTTTTCATTGCTTGTTCTGTTTTATCTGCAACTTTTTAAAAAATTCCGGGAACTGTACTGATAGTTGAAGATTTATGAAAAGCTTCAAATTCTTTATTCATGACTTCTGCAATTTTCAATAATTTATCAGAAGGAGTTATTAATCGCCCTTTCTCGAAATTTTGTCAATCCAATCATCTTTAGAAGTAACAAACATTTCAGTATGTGTTCCCAAATCGTCATAAATATGATTGAACCTGTGAGCAACGTAACCGGCGATATATTTAAGCCCTTCTTGCTGTATAACATCGATGACATCTAATTCTTCAAGTTCTTTTAAGAGATTTAGTTCTTCGGAAGAGGGAATATAGGTAGAGGTGCAAGCGGATGTCAAATAGTCTGTAAAGTAAAATGAAATATAGCAGACATTAAATTGAAATTATTGATAACTTTTTCTGACAGGTTTTTATTAAAATATTTATTTTGATGCACTAGAGACAGTACATATTTCAATTTATGGCGAATTCGATTGGAAGCATTACTGCGCACCATTACTGGTGCATATTAAAGCCGTTGTACACTGATTTAATTTGAATATAAAAATGAAATGCAAATATTTCGAATCATGAAATATTATTTTACCTAATAGTACAATAAAATGTATTGAGTATTTCACGATCTGATCGATTTCTGTGTTTATTTATAAACATATCTTTACATTATTTTGTGTGTGGCTTTAATGTGCACCAGTGCACATTGAGTGCGTCCAATCGAATTCGCTATTAGATACGTTAAGCATACGTAAGCTCTGATGTTTACCAGGGAAAACAGTACAGTAAGCAGAAAACAATTTTATATTCTGAATCTGTACATAACATGCATTAAAATAATGTGAAGAGTCTTCCCTTTCATATTATTTCTCTCATCGACAGGATATTTATAATAATATATTTTATATTAAGTCATTATTAAGTATATATAGATCGTATAATTAAACTCAGTTGGATAAATCTATGTAGAATAAATCTATTAAGTCTATTAAGTTACTATTAAATCACTATTAAAACCCATGACTTTTGAATGAATCACTGCAGAATACAGTTCGACAAAATTAGTACTTTGAAATATGTACAATTTTTTAAACATTTTTGAACAAATGAACTATACCACCATCAACACATTCCCCGAAATCGCAGTCGTTATGGAAGTTAGTGATGTTGGCAATTATATATTCAGTATCTTCATTGTTGATTTCAGCATTAGTTGGTGCCTTGTCCATGTCGACATCAATATTGCTAGTCAGGCAAGTTTCGTTGATTGAAGTATCATGTACGGTAGTGTTGTTCTTTTCCGTGAAGGTGTCTGCAGAATATTTTCCTAGAATATACCAGCGGAGCCTATATCTAATGTTCAGCGCGGTTGGTCTGTCATTCGCAGCGCCCATTGCTCGGAGGTATGAAAACAGATTTTCTAACACGTCTTGATTTAATCGATTTGTTGTAATATATGACATTTCAAAATTTGTATTAAATCCGAATAAAGATGTTGTAATGAGCAAGTGCTTAGAATGAATCCTTTTTGAAATGGGAGCATCATTCTTCGTTCTCCAACCGTCATAGTTTGCATTGTCGATTTTACTTTAGAGAGGATCTCATTTTGTTTGTCAACGTCAACTCCATAACCATTCAATCCCGCATGATGTCCATATTTGCATGTACTGTTAAAAATATCAAACCATGCGTTAAATAAATTTAAAAATTCTGCCGTTTCAGCCCATTGTGGACAGTTTTTCATGTATCCGCGTTCACCACACCATTCAATAGCAGCTGCATTTGTTGCAGAAATTAACTGCGTTGCAAGTTTAACATTTTGGCGCATTGGACCTTGAACATTTAAATGGATTTCGCTTAATTTATGGGCAATCTTCAAATCACCGGAATTGATTTTTAATAATCTTAGTAATGGCACTTTTGTGATGAACCTATTATTTATATGAAGTCCAGAATCCAAAAAATGATTACGAAGTAATTTAAGTAAATGGGGAAGATCAGCGAAAACGTGCACATTTACTTCTTCGTTGCACGGATGTCTGAAGTACGTTTTTTGTCCATCATTTATTCCTACTCCTAACTGATTCTACAAACTCTGATTGCTCTGTCCCATGTCACTGGTCATTGCGTAAACAGTGTAACCAATTTCAAATAACTGTGTCAATATATCATACAATATTTCTGTAGTCATATCCGTATCATAGGCATAGTAAATTGGCTGCTTCCACTTTTTGAATATTCCACGAGCTACAACGACCTGGCACTTTTTGTGCCGCCCAATAGCTTTCTCTTCTTTTTTTTCTACCTCGATCTGATTGGATAGAAAAATTTCATTGAAACATATCACAGTAATCCTTTCCATATCTGACATACCCGTGCCTTTGGCGTTCATTATTAACAATACGTCCTTCAGAAGACCTTCATCCATATTAAATTTCGCTATCCATTTTCGTAGCGTAGAAATAGCTGGTAAAGGGAATCATTTTGTTTTCCTTAAATACCGATAGGCCTTAGGATTAACGTTCTTTAAGGAAATCGCAGATGCGATGTCTTCAGAAAATCATCGGGTTTTGTTCCGTGTTGGATGTAAAATCAATTGTATTTGCCCGGGTGTGAAGAATGGAGTTAACATTTCTTGAAATTTCTGTTCCAATTCTTTCTTATGTTGTTTACTCTGTAGTATTAGCCGTTGTTTAAGTTCTTTTTCGTGGCGTTCATCTCTTAAAGCTAATTGACGTTCCAGGGATTGCACTTCCTTCAGCAATTCTGCAATTTTTTTCTTCATTGTCTGAATTTCCTTGTCACGGTCTTGATTGGTTGGAGGACAAGTGTCCTCTTCTTATACATGAAACCACGAAATATACATATATAAATAACGTTAAATGAGCCATGAAAATAACTGCATCATGCATTAAAGTTACAAGGAAATTACACGGAAAAATATAATAATTTTTTGCAAACAAAATAATCTATATTTTTTAATTTTAATTAAGTGAAATTGTGCGTTCAAATTTATGCTATACTAATAATATTTTATTTCAATTTTCGTAAAAATTGGAGAAATGACTTTTTTTGTGAAGTATGGCAGATCTGGTAATAGGCAGAATGGTAATAGGTACCAGAGTTTGTAGCTGTGGCAGAGTTTGATACACCACTCGCAATACTCGATAGATTTTCTTGCAAGCAGCTTAACGGGGCGATTGTATCACTGTGTGTAGTAGAACTGCACTGCGCAGCAACAGGCATAAGATGAGTTTCTATTTCTGAAATTCCATTCAAGATGAGTTTCTAT